AGTGTTACCAAAAGCATGCAAAGGAAAGATTCTCGTAGTACAGTACATTATATATAGAGGCTAAAACGCATCGATTCAACAAAACATGAACTTCGATCCACTGAAACCACCTGCTGATTCCACCTTTACTTCGGTCACGTCGTTTCGGAAAGTAAGAGAAAAAGTGCTAGTTTTGTTTCTATACTTCCGGTGTGGCAAATTCGATTTTGACCTCCTGAAAATGAGCCACGAACCTCACCACAAAAAAAAAAAACCATTTATTGCACATGACACTGGGTATAACCGTTCATCCCGTAATCAATATTTCACGGTGATGAGCCAAAGATTAAATTGTTTTACCCAATTTTAAGATTATAAACTGCTGCGCTATCATGAATTCAATGCTGAATAAACTGCATCATGGTACTTCAAGCCAACTAAACGTTATTTGAACAATGTTTGAACAGCAAGAAAATCGGAATTGGATTTTGAAGCAAAAAGTAAATATAAATTATATTTTTAACAATTTGTCAAATTACTGCTGCGGCTGCGAGGCAAAAAATACAGATTCTCAGCTGTATTGATTCTGGATACGATTTATATTGGAAATTCTAAAATCCCATCTTCATTCAATGTTTCCTCAATTAAACAAAGAAAAACAATTCAAAGCAATATCAGAAAAAATCATTGTAGTGATAATTTCTTTGTATAGAACTTCTATAACATAGGGAGATAATACCCTAAAATGTGACAAAAAAATTCATCTTACAGATAAATTCTTAGTAGACAGAATTGTTGTAGGAAGAGTCTACCATAGATTGAAAGAAACTCAAGTTTGATTCAAGAATAAACACTTCAATTTTGTTAGGCAAGTGTGCCATCACTGATGTATTTTCTCAGTATTTTCCAGAGTTTCATCCTCTACCTTGAAATCCAATGATAAAACCTTATGAAGGGTAGGTATTAAATGTTGAGCTAGTTAAGAGCAGAGAAGAATATCATAGGTGAGAATTATTCCAGTGCAATCCAGGATAGTTGAAGCAAGAGTTTGCTGATTAGTTATTATCCTGCATGACATACACTTTATCCTTAACCAAGGAATTCCAATCCCTGTCCTAAGCTTATTATTGTATTTTATTTAGGCTCTTATACTCTTTCAATCCACCTTGACAATTATGTATTACATTGAGGTGACATCTGTCCTCAATAAATCCAATATTCACCAGGATGGACAATTTATTATGAAACACCAAACTAAAACTTTATCCTGTATCCCATTTTCACGCATGTAAATAATAATATACTTTGTATCTATTAACCAACAGAATTGAAATTAGGTAAATATTCAAAAATTCTTCAAAAATTGTCCCAAAATGTCTGACTCACCAGAGAAACAAAAGCAGAAAAAATCCTCCCCAGCTTTTTCGGTACAGTTTCCACCATTGTGACACAGGGTAACGTTGCATACGTTAACATCGATCTCACACGAATAACCTGCAAAAAAAAAACTGCGCTTCACCAACAAAAACATTGGCATCAGTTTATGCACAATAACACTCACCTTCGTATCCAGGAAGACATTCGCACGTGTAATTCGTCAATCCCATGCTCCAGCAAGTGCCGTTATTTAGACACGGAGACGAATCGCACGCCAAAATTTCGTGCTCGCAAAACATTCCTGCAACGGAAGCAAAAAAATTTATCATTGATTACGCTTTGAAAAGAAAGCACCGAGAATTTCCTCACCAGTGAATCCTTCGGTGCAGGTACAATTCGGATAAGCAATAGCATCAAAGCAAGTTGCTCCATGGAGGCAAGGCTCGTTCCAGCACTCATTCCAATCAGTCTGGCAATTGTATCCTGTGTAACCATCTTCGCAAAAGCACTCATAACTGTTTGAGCTAAATCCCATTCAAATAAAAAATATCGCAATATAATCATTTCGCTTTTTGTTGTTGAAAAAAATGAAATTGGATTGAAAAGCGCGCAAAGAAAATAAAATACAAAATTAACGTTAGGATTTTTCCTGCCATTGCATCAGTATGGCCAGGAACCCTCCACTACCCAGGGGTTAAAGAAGATGCTGAGTTGCTGATTATTTTGGGCAAAGAATAAGTCTAATTTTTCGGAGCCTCTATATACAAAGAGTCTCCCAGACAGATTCAGGCTGACTAATGCAGCATTCCATTTATGAAACTTTCATTTTTGGGGAACAAATCCCCGACAATCATCACTACATAAATTTATTATTTTTTAATTTGTTGTCCGTAGAATAAAATATGAGTTCAAATAAAATATATATCTTCAATATATATTGAAGTCACAAATATTCCAAAATACAATCACACAAAATATAGAGATATGGAGATATTAAGAGAGTCTTGCTAAATCGTTATGCAAGTCTCTCTGAGAAATAACCTTGAACAACTCTAGATTAATTCTGAGAAAACATACAGTAACCAGGGTATATATATACCTTCTGGCAACACAAAGTATATAGGCAAGATATTTGCCTAGATTGAGGAACTGCAGGTTCCTTGAACACTAATGAATATATATATACATCCAGGTATATGTACATGAATATATTTAATAAATACACTTGTTCCTTCAACAAGAGGGTTCTTCCTAAATTGGCAAGTTCTTCAGAAAGAGGAGGGTTGTATGTCACTGTCAACAAATAGCTGATTCTATTGAGGAAACAAACATAAACGGGCGTCACGCATTAATGCAGGCTGACGCAAGGGAGGGGAACCAAAACAAGAGGGAACAGCTGCAAGGAACCAAAAACCTTGTAAAAGAGATTTCAACCCAAATAAGGAGAGGAAAAAGAATAAAGAAGGAAATCAGTTTCTGGGTTACAAATTGATCCATCAATCTTCAGCACAACTAACCTGTCCACAGACTTTCTGCACACTCCGTGTTCACAAGGACCAGCTACGCAAGGGTCCATGTGTTCATCAAGATGGAATTCTTCATCTTCCACCTCATGATGGCGTGCGACACGATTGCCGAAATCGGCCCGGACCTCATTATTCAACCCCGGCGACAGCAGGATGCCGTCAACAGATGGCGTTGAAATCAAATGACTCCAATACTTGGCGAAGCTGCTCTGCTGATCACATTCGCCCGGAGCAGCCATCATCAGCCACATCAACGCATAATAAATCGCAGCTGATGGCATCGGCAACCGGCCGACTACGGGGCCCATTTCTCATCGGTTGCAACATGCGTATGAGCTTTTTTTTCTCTTCCTTTGCCACTTTCCGAAAAACGCCGTGTCAACTCCTGAATTTGCTGGATTGAACCGCACACACGAGGGAATAACAGCCGCATAAACGCATTTTTTTTTTGCTCAATGAATTTTCCGCGAGGCGTGATCCAAAGTGTCTCGGCAGATCTGTGCCAAAACTCTGGATGAGCGCAGTGAAGCTATATGATCATTGCTGATGATGAGAGCAAAACACAATAAAGAGAAAAGCATCAGAATTAGCATTTGCCCTTGGGAAATGAATGAAAAATATTTTTTATATATGCAGTAATAGCACAATTCTTTCCTGTTGAAACTGCTTCAAGCAATGTAAACCAGCAGTAATGCAAACCCGTCACTCTTATAATCAGTCAATTCAAAGGCTACAGGTAGTAAAGGTAGAGTCTCTCCAGAACAAAATTAACCCTTAGACAATGGAGGGATCTTTTCCATGGTGCTGAAAAGTCAGAATTTTTCCCAAAAGGGGAGGCATACTTCGGTTAGATCAAAGATCACTGAAATGCCCATGGGTTTGGAAGAACCAAGTTGAAAAAACTGCAGTTGGAAAATATCCTGTAGTTTTGAGAAATCTCCAATATGCTATTCCTATTTTTTACTGGAAGTCAGGAACATGCCACCCAGTGAGGATTTTTTTTAAATTGCAGGCAAAGTTTTGTGCAGAATTAAAAAAATATATATTGGACTTTTCAAATTCATCAGTCATCAACGTTGGATCTTGTTACAAGAATACATTTTTATCTTGCTCATGGGCACAACATTTTGCAAAAATATTCTGACTCTGCAGCCCAGGGGTTAAAAGGATCAGAAAAAAATATATGATGTAGAGATAATTTTATTGCAGAGAACCTCCATAATTGTTTGGTTGAGTTGCTCATGGGCACAACATTTTGCAAAAATATTCTGACTCTGCAGCCCAGGGGTTAAAAGGACCAGAAAAAAATATATGATGTAGAGATAATTTTATTGCAGAGAACCTCCATAATTGTTTGGTTGAGAGAACCCTGTGGTAAAAAAAATCGATGAAAAAAATCATTATAGACAATAGATTTTTGTAGAGAGTCCACCTGCATAACTGATTAGATTACAATAGATTGGCACAAAGACCATATTTAATTGATTACCACATGCCCTTCAATAAAGCATCCAGCTTTTTCAATATCAGATTTTGATACAATCTTATCCCTAGCTGTGTAAGATGCATGCCTTAGTTTTAGTGACTTAAAAGCTGCAATATTTCAAAAATAAGATAGCAGAATTGGAATTAAGACATCAATTTAACCTGAATTCAAATAATTTTCATATTTTTTCTATTAAAAGCTTTCTCAAAATTCAAAATGTCCTCTTTGAATCAAGTATGAGAAGTACCTGAACCTCTAAAATGTGTCAAACATTTTATGCACACCCATAACACACACCCTCCCTTTTCCTCTCAATTTTGAAGAATAAGGTGCACATGGTAATCAAGTAAATAAGTTCAAATTTTGGTGATGTCGTTGTACAGAACTGTAGTAATAATTCAAGTTGGCTTCTGTTGCCAAAATGTTAAGATGGTCAAATCTCTATAACAAGGAGGCAGTTTCAACAAGAAAATATCAAAAACTGTCCACCTCATCCTGAAGCTATCCTCAGGCTCATACATTTTTAAATTAGGTGTATATATTTCGAATTGAATCACACATAAATATGTACATAGCTGCCATGTGTGTGTGTTGCCCCCAAAAATTCGCAAAAAGTAGACACTGAGATTAAATCAAAAATCATCATCGTCATCGTCGTCAATCTGCACAGGAACTGAGGATTCCAAGCCATCATTGCCTCTGCTCGGTGGCACGGAAGTAGCTGGCATGACAACCGTCGAACCAGCGATGGCACTCGTGACCACGTCACCTTCAGCTGCCACTTCGTCGTCGCCAATGTCACCGACATCAGTGCCAGCAATGACAGAAGGTTTGCCGTTTTTGCGAGGCATCCCAGGTGGACCCCCGTTCCCCGCGTTTTCTTGCAGTTCTGCTTCGAAATCCAAGTCAGAGTCGGATTCCAAACTGAAGGAGTTTTCGGAATCTCCCCCAGTCATGGTTCCGAAGCGGCGGGAACCGGAAGTTCTTCCGCCGGCGGCGTTTGTTCCGCGTTTTCGTTGCACTCCATTCAAAACTAGGCAAGAAAAAGACACAGGGACATTTAAAAAATCATCTTTCAAAAAACAAATCACTGAAAAAGAACCATCAAAACTGGGCAGCAAAGGTTCCCAACAATAGAGAGCATTGCAGCACACTGGAAAATAAAAGAAATGATCACACAGGACAATCAGGTAGCAATTAAAATTCTTCAGAAGCTTACTCATAAAAACTATTTGTTGGGATATATCCATAAAAAATGGCAGCAGAGTATGGTTCCTGCTCTGACATGATTTTACATCCATAAAGTTAAAAAGAACAATCATGCGGTAATTAACCCAGGAGTGGCAAAGTTGGACTATTTTTGCAAAATTTTGTTTCACCTCAGGGAAGAAAAGAAAAAAAAATGACAACAGGGAGCTGAGGACAAAGTTGGAAAAAACCTCAATGTTTATTTTTTCTTTTTGCACAGGAAAATGTTGCAGGAAGATAAGAAAAATGCTATGTTAAGCAACAGGCTTTTCTCGGATTAATCCCAACTTTGCCTCAGCCCACATGGAATGGCTTGTCTGACCTTCAGAAAACTGAAAATGCCCCAGCATACAAAAATAATCCAATTTTGGCCAATGATGGGAAAGAACCCTCTGCTGTCCAAGGGTTAATTCTTCAGAGGCTTACCCATAAAAACTATTTGTGTGGAGAAATCCCAAATAAAAAGTGGTAGCAGAATGTGGTTCACGCTCTGACATGATTTTAGATTCATAAAGTTTAAAAGGTCAATCATGGAGTAATTAATTCTCCAGAAGCTTACTCATAAAAACTATTTGTTAGGGAAAATCCCCAACAACACCTTTGTGTCACCATTTTCATAATGAATCCTTTTCAGGACATGTTTCACTCAACTCTTCTACTAAGTAGATTAATTGCATAGAGGGAACATTCTGAATGCCTATTGCGGTAAAATGTCATGACAACAAACTCACAGCAGGGACCACATAAAAAAACTGTTAGCACAAAAAATTGTTGCTTCAAGATTCATGGTGTTAAGCACATTTTTGACTGCAATTTTGTGTGAAATGGGCAATGAATACTGCAAAGCGCTTCCACAACAGATAATTCAAGATACCTTATTTACTTGAGTACCACGCGCACCTTTTTTCCCAAATTTCAGAAGAAGAAAAGGGGTGCGCGTCATAAGCAGGTACGCAATTTTTAAGAAGTTTTAGGAAGTTATGTTTGCATTACACTTAATTATAATGGAGAAATTTGGAACAAATATAAAAAGAAAACATTTTTGTATTGAAAAAGTTGAAAATTCATCAGACTTTTGTTCAATTCATGCCTAAAGTCAAAATTTTTGTTGTTGAAATTTTGTGGTTCTAGGTTCACTAAAAATTGGGGTGCGTGTTTTACTTGGGGATCAGATTTTTGCAAAATTTTTGAGTGAAAAACCCCTGTGCATGCCTTACTCCAGGGCGCGTGGTACTTGAGTAAATACGGTATGTCAAATTTCATCCTGAAGCAGCAGGGGGTAATCTGCCAGGACCACAAACAAATTTGTCATTTAGGAATTTTTCAAGGGAATTCTACCATATTCTACACTGGAGACATTGAAACACTTGAAGCCATTTTCTGTGGTACCTTGCACTTTGACCCTAATCAATTGCCAAACCAGGGTCAAATTGCAATAAGACACTTTGTGAAATTCAAAAATATCAGTGCCAAAATGCAAAAAAAGTGGCCAAATTAGGTTGAATTGCAGGGCAAATGCCAAACTGCAAGTCAACCTCGCTGCAAATTCCACCATAGAATTTTGAGATGGTCAACTTGCAAGTACCACCTGTACAGGGTGGACAAAAGTATTGAACTGACTTTTCCCTTGAAATTAAAAAAAAAAAATTGGTTTGCTTCTTGGCCACTGAGCTATCTAAAGTTAAAAAAAAAAATTGGTCCACTTTTTCAGTCCAAACACTCTGGAAGCATCAGGTTACAGACATGACACTCAAGCTTATAGTACCTTCATCGTCGTCGTCATCGTCATCGTCGTCGTCCAAGTCATTGTAACCCTGCATTCGTTTCTCGTCTTCCTGCCGGAGCTTGTCCAACAGCTTTTGTGCAGCTTGCTGCCGTTCCTCGACCCGTTGTTGTTCCGTTTTTTCGTAATCCTCCAACTGTTGCTCCAAAAATGCCAGACAACGAAACCGTGTAACGTAGTCTTCATACAGACGCTTGAATTCTCCTTCTAGCTTCTCATACTCGTCCATAAACGCGGGTCGGACCTTCCGTAAAGTTTGGAGGCTATATATTGAAGAACCATAAAATAACATTATTTTCCCCCTGCGTTTTTATACTGCATCAGGAAGGTCACAAATAGAGTGTTGGTTCATGAGTTTTTAAAAATATAGTGAGACCCCAAGATGTGGACGTTATTGGTACTGTACATCAAGAGTGTCTCTAAGTCAAAATGTCCCTAAGCTGAGCCTCAATTTCTCTAAGGGCTTTCATTACTTTATATAATTTTTAATTGGTGTTTTATGAAAAAAATACTCATATATAAGTCCATGAAAAAAATGTGCATCCCAATTGAAACTAATTCAATCAATATCTTTCAACACCATATGAACATGTGGAGCATTGAATACTAATATATCTGTACAGTACTGTACATGGAAATGTTGGCAAATTTGACTGTCAATTTGCACAATGGTCAAGTTGCTGGAGGTTGCTGGAGGTATATAATTTTTAATTGGTGTTTTATTAAAAAAATACTCATAATAAGTCCATGAAAAAAAAGTGCCTCCCAATTGCAACTAATTTAATCAATATCTTTTCAACACCATATGAACTTGTGGAGCATTGAATACTGATACCTCTGTACAGTACTGTACATAGAAATGTTGCCAAATTTGACTGTCAATTTGCACGATGGTCAAGTTGCTGGAGGTTGAATTGCAAGGTACCACCTGTGTACACTATTTCATGATAGGTATGTGTACTTATACTCAAGAAATAGATCAGTGAACATGACAAGATCTGTCAACAAGGTTTCTCATCAACATATAGAAATCACACAAAGTTATTTCCAAAAGGGCTCTTGCCTAAATTCAAGGAGAGTATGAAGAGATGTATACAGGGTAGAACATACTAAAAAAATAAATAAATTTGAGAATGCCAGAAAAACAAGATCTAATTCATCATATGCAGGTGGTATGCAAAAATTTATTTCAGTCATTAATTTCAAAAACTTTGCTATAACAAATTATTCCCTGTAAAAAATAATAATAATTCTTCAGAAGTCTGCGCCAAAAGTTGCTTGCATCCAGATGGCGCTACAGTATACTAAGAAAAAAGAATGAAAACATGCAGTGTTGAAACCGTTATGCTGATTTCACGCCATCCTTTTACAGCTGATGGACTTACACTTTTATGTACCATGCAAGTGACATTTTGAATATAATTTATAGCAGCTGGGGGTGCACAATTCAACCCTTATTGATTTATAAAATGATGAATATATACCGTTTTTCGACGCGGTCCAGTTCGATGCGTTTCTTGTCGATCTTGGAGTCCCAAGCCGCCTCTTCCTGGGCAATGTTGTCGACACCGTCACTGGTGGAGCGGATTTCCTGTTCAACCTGTGACACTGCTCGTCGCAGGTTATTCTCGACATCTGCCAGCTCCAGCTGCCTGCCCAGGGCAGTGTTGCGAGCCTGGCGCAGATGCATTTCCTTGCCCAGAAGGTCGTACAACTTCGCCCCACTCACTGTTATTTCCGTGGCTAGCTGTCTTGTGCGCTGTAATGACAGGGAGAATATATCTATATAAACAAACAAATTAAATAAGCCCTTGTGCAGCTAAGTTGGGATATTTTTGCAAAATTGTGTCCCCTTCAGGGCAGAAAATTAAAAAAAAGTATGATGTTTGAACCAAGGCCTAAGTCAGGAAAAAGTCCAATGTGTTTTTATAATCCTGCAGTAATTGTCATGGGTCCATTGGATCCCAGACAAAGGAATTGAAATGTGCAGCCATCAGAATGCAAGTTTTGAATAAGAACTCAAACTAAAAAAAAGTATGATGTTTGAACCACGGCCTAAGTCAGGAAAAAGTCCAATGTGTTTTTATAATCCTGCAGTAATTGTCAGGGGTCCATTGGATCCCAGACAAAGGAATTGAAATGTGCGGCCATCAGAATGCAAGTTTTGAATAAGAACTCAAACTCTTTTTCAGAGGAGTTTATTCTCATTGCCCAAGTTCAACAATTGGCTGGTAATTCAATATAATGGCAGATTCAATGGTTAAATTGGTTGGTTAGCTCAGAATAATGAATGAGGTAATTTAATTTAGGTTAAAGGCCCTTTAACACTAGGTTATGACTGCTTGACTTCTCCTCTCAAAGAGGAATGAGGGTTTTTATACCCAGGTGCTTGGACTGGGTCAGGAAGAAAGCCTTGCAAAAATCCCGTTTTAGCGAGACTCACTGAGCCTCACTGAGGACAAGTAGTGGTTTTCACTTCTTTCAGGAAGAAATCACCTGATTTCTTCCTGGCTCAGGATTCTTCCTGGCTCAGGAAGAAATCACCTGATTTCTTCCTGGCTCAGGATTGGCCAATTCAGGCAAAATCAAAGAAGTGAAAACCACTTCTTGTCCTGAGTGAGGCTCAGTGAGTCTCGCTGAAATGGGATTTTTGCAAGGCTCACTGGCCTCAGAAATCCAACAAGTTTTGGGTCCGGTTTTGCCCGGATGCTGGAGCTACTTCGCTTTGGTCCGCGACAGTAATTTTTGGATCAAAAATAAAAAAATTCCTCACTGGGTGGCATTTTTTCATACATTCCCAGCATAGAGTTAACATTGAGAATTTTTTGAGACAATGTGATTTTCTGCAACCAGATTTCTCCTGACGTAGGCATTGGCAAAAAATAATAATAAATAATAACATTGATGTTCATTGATGTTTGGTCAAACTGAAATGCCCTTCCCCCCAAAAGTTATGACTTTGCTGTAGGTTTGCCAGGAGCCCTCTGCTGTAGAAGGGTTAAGCACAAGAAAGGAACCTGCTGATCAAAATCTACATGAAGTAGGTTTCAAAGTGTCTGAGCTGAATTAACTATTCTTTTGGGACTTTATTAAAAATACTCAATTCTGTTTGGAGTCTCTAAAGAGGCTCCCAGCCCATCCCAGGCTGATTGTTGTCTTTGATTTACTAATCTCATCTTATTTTCTTTGTGGAGACCTTTAGTCACTAACAAGCCAATCAGACAGCATTTTGGTGACCTATGAATGATCAATAAGCCCTTTGTGAAAAAGAAAAATTCTGACTTCACCATGGGATGAAAAGGAACCCATCCCTGATGTCAAAGAGTTAATGCTGGAGGGGTTTTTAACCCTTGTGCGGCAAAGTTGGGATATTTTTGCAAAATGTTGTGCCATTGGGCACTGGAAAATAAAAAAAAACTTACTTTTGTAACAAGGAACAAGTTGGAAAATAGTCCAATTCTTTTTCTGATCCTGCTGAGAATTCTGAATGAAAAAATTGTAAAAATTCCTGTGTGTGGCATCTTTCCCTTTGCATGGAAAAATCCTGAAAACAATATAAATTTTGCCTTTTCTGGATTTTAGCTGACTTAGGCCTTCTAAAACTGGGGGCATTTCAGTGACCTTGGATCAAGCTGTAATGCAGCCCCTGCACCCCTGGGAAAATCCCAACTCCACCATGCACTGAAGAAGAACCCTCTGCTATTTGAGGGTTAAACACTAAAGGGTTTAGTCCTCCCAGAAAATCTTTCACTTGGGCTATTCATCCCAGACTTTGCTTCAATGTATGTCAGAAACTGTTGTGCATGATTCCAGCATTGTCATGTGTTTGGGAACCAGAACTTGGGCCCAGGGACATCAGGTCCCAGGACCTGGATTCTGGTTCCATTTTCCTTTGTGCATCCATTCCGCGGATGCATGACTTCTTTGATGCACATTTTGTCTGCCAATCACAGGCAAGGAAAAATGTCCAATGCTTTGGTCAGGTCAGCTAACAGAAACATTGTGCTAAATCCTATAAAAACCCAGCACTCTTCCACTCCCAATAATCAGTCCTTAAAATTAGCTCTTACAGTAAACTTCCTCCAAACATTGCAACCCCAATTCTTCTGATTGAATTTTTGCATTGCGTTATTGCACCCTAAACTTGNTTGCCAGGAGCCCTCTGCTGTAGAAGGGTTAAGCACAAGAAAGGAACCTGCTGATCAAAATCTACATGAAGTAGGTTTCAAAGTGTCTGAGCTGAATTAACTATTCTTTTGGGACTTTATTAAAAATACTCAATTCTGTTTGGAGTCTCTAAAGAGGCTCCCAGCCCATCCCAGGCTGATTGTTGTCTTTGATTTACTAATCTCATCTTATTTTCTTTGTGGAGACCTTTAGTCACTAACAAGCCAATCAGACAGCATTTTGGTGACCTATGAATGATCAATAAGCCCTTTGTGAAAAAGAAAAATTCTGACTTCACCATGGGATGAAAAGGAACCCATCCCTGATGTCAAAGAGTTAATGCTGGAGGGGTTTTTAACCCTTGTGTGGCAAAGTTGGGATATTTTTGCAAAATATTGTGCCATTGGGCACTGGAAAATAAAAAAAACTTACTTTTGTAACAAAGAACAAGTTGGAAAATAGTCCAATTCTTTTTCTGATCCTGCTGAGAATTCTGAATTAAAAAATTGTAAAAATTCCTGTGTGTGGCATCTTTCCCTTTGCATGGGAAAATCCTGAAAACAATATAAATTTTGCCTTTTCTGGATTTTAGCTGACTTAGGCCTTCTAAAACTGGGGGCATTTCAGTGACCTTGGATCAAGGACATTACGTCGGGGACGTGGGGACCCTTTTAGGGTTGAGGTGGTACGTGACTTCTTCTTGGGAGACGATAAACTCCCAATTTGTGATTTCCCAAATCAGGAGGGTCTTTTAGAAAGTGAACCCGATATCATCCCAGACTTTGCTTCAATGTATGTCAGAAACTGTTGTGCATGATTCCAGCATTGTCATGTGTTTGGGAACCAGAACTTAGGCCCAGGGACATCAGGTCCCAGGACCTGGATTCTGGTTCCATTTTCCTTTGTGCATCCATTCCGCGGATGCATGACTTCTTTGATGCACATTTTGTCTGCCAATCACAGGCAAGGAAAAATGTCCAATGCTTTGGTCAGGTCAGCTAACAGAAACATTGTGCTAAATCCTATAAAAACCCAGCACTCTTCCACTCCCAATAATCAGTCCTTAAAATTAGCTCTTACAGTAAACTTCCTCCAAACATTGCAACCCCAATTCTTCTGATTGAATTTTTGCATTGCGTTATTGCACCCTAAACTTGTATGCACAAATGTATTGTTTTTATTGAATGTTTGTTGCATCATTGCATTTATTGTGATGTATCATTTTTTATTGTGTTTGATTGTGATTTATTGTGGACTGTGATTAAACCAGACAAAACTAGGGATATGTAATTGAGGTACCCCATTAATTACATATTCCCAGCCACAAACCAGCTGATTGCCCTGCCTTATTATTTCCCACCTTTTCTTCCACTGCCCTATGGTTCAATTCTTTATGTTGGGTTGATTAATTCATCCTCAACATCATGCATGAACTGACCTTCAGCTGAGAAATTTTTGCCTGGGCATCAAACATAACTGGTACTTCACGGGCACCTCCTTCAGTACCAGAAGTACCACCACCACCACCACTTTCAGTACCCATTGGTTCCCCATCCGAGTCCTTCACAGCACCATAAAGCAATTTGGCCACTTTCAACATCTCCTTGACTGCGTGGCCATCGGCTTCGTAGAGTCGCTTGGTGTTGATCTTGACGTGGGCCTTCTCGGCCACCAACTGGGCCACTGACCTGACGAAGATGACCCGGTCTTGCTCGGTGTCGACGTCGAGTGGCACGTCGACATCCGGGTCGTATCGCTTGACGAGCCAGGCCATGAGTTCCGCGACCAGCGGGAAATTCGGGTTCCGGAAATTCTCCACTGACACCAGACGCGGGAAACCCAGGCCTCGCATCATTTCGCAGAATGCTCGCAAATCCCGATAAGACATTTTCTTTTTGCTTTCGTTTCTGCAAACTTGAAAATGCACTGAACGCATCAAATTTTCAGGAAAAGAAAATTAGAAAATTCTGATGAGACTTCTTTTTAAAACCGTTAAACATGCCCTAAACGCATCGAATCTTGAGCAAAAGAAAATGAGCAAAGCCGGGTGGGACTTTTTTCCCGTTTTTGCCAATTTAAAAATGCACGAAACACATCAAAACTTGAGCAAAGGAAAATGAGCTTATCCCAATGCAGCATTTTTTCCAACTTGAAAATGCACGATAAAAACAAGAAATCTTGAGCAGAAGAAAATTAGCAAATCCCGGTAAGACTTTTTTCTCGTTTTTGCCAATATAAAAATGCACAAAACACATCAAAACTTGAGCAAAGGAAAATGAGCTTATCCTAATACAGCATTTTTGCCAACTTAAAAATGCATAAAAAACAAGAAATCTTGAGCAGAAGAAAATTAGCAAATCCCGGTATGATTTTTTTTTCGTTTTAACCAATTTAAAAATGCACGAAACACATCAAAACTTGAGCATAAAAAAATGAGCTTATCCCGACGCAGCATTTTTTGCCAATTTGAAAATGCACCAAAAACAACAAATCTTGAGCAGAAGAAAATTAGAAAATCCCGCGGTAGGACTTCCTTCCGCTTTTGCCAATTTAAAAATGCAGACAAATAACCAAAACTTGGGCAGAGGAAAATGAGCTTATCCCGACGCAGCATTTTTTGCCAAATTGAAAATGCGCCAAAAAAAAGAAATATCTTGAACAGAAGAAAATTAGCAAATCCCGGTAGGACTTTCTCCCGTTTTTGCCAATTTAAAATTGCATTAGTAAACACATCAACATTGCAGCAGAAGAAGAAAATGATCAAATCCCGATCAATCATTGTGTTTCGTTTTTTCTCCGACTCGAAAATGCACTAAACACATGAAATTTTGAGCAAAAGAAAATTAGCAAAATTAGGGTAAGAAATTTTGTTTTTACTTCGTCCCATTTATAAATGCATTGAACGCATCACATGTTGAGCAAACAAAAATGAGAAAATCCCGATGGGACTTTTCCACTTTTACCAACTTGAAACATCACTGTAAACACATCAAATCTTGAGCAAAAGAAAATGAGCAAATTCCTATAAGACAATTTTTTTGGTTTTTTCTTCAATAAATTAAAAATCAAATCAGACATTGAGCAAAAACAATGCTCGAGTATTATTTTTCTTTTGTTATTTAGAGTGAAATTGAGGTCAAAATCTCATGCATTATTACAAAAAATCGATTTTTCCTTGAAAATTCAGCTCTTGACTCATTTTTGGATCAACCAGGCTAATTTTGCCTATTATATTGCCCAAAATACGAAATTTGAAGAAAGGTTTTTCGGGGATAGCAGGACCGGATTTTCTCCACGAATTTTCAATATTTTCAGAATTTTATCAAAGCTGAAGTTCCCTCAGAAAATTTGAAAAAACAGCAAAAAACACGAATATGCACACAGTCCAAGTGACCGACAACGACTGAATCACTTTGGGCACGAAATTCTGGGTGAACTCTTGGCTTCTTCAATGCGGGCTATATTTTCTTTCATCCCAAGTGGAAATCACACCAACAAATTCATTCATATTCCCTCATTTAAAAATCATGGATTTTCGAAGATTAATTCTGTCGAGTTTCATGACGAGGAAAATGTAACGCCGTGATACATGTATTTTGAAAATTTTTCTGGGAATTTCGTCCACAGCAGAACTTATCAAAACTATATTTCATTAAATCATGGGTGAAAAGTGAATATTTTTGAAACCCTCTTGTCCCGAAAACGCTTTCGATTTTGGACTCAAAATATTTTAGAAAATGCAGTCGAAAATTTGGTGTTTATTTCTTCTAATTTCGCCTCTCACTTTGTTTCACGCTCTTCAATCCCTAAAAATCTAAAAACATTTTTAAATGAAGAATAATTTTGAAATTAACCAAACCTCTTGTCACCAAACATTTTCGATTTCGCCACTTCATTATATTGTGTGCCAAAAAAATGTAGAAAGTACAATCAAACAATCGATTGTGAGTTCCTTTCATTTTACCCCTGGGTTCATTTTTTTCCCAAAGGCAAAAATATTTTCTGCTCGAATTAAATCGTCAAAAATCTAAAAACATTTTTTTAATGGGAAACAATTTTAAAATCAACCAACCCACTTGTACTCAAACATTTTCGATTTCGGTCACTTCATCATTACAGTATTGTGTGCAAACAAATTTAGAAAATAAATGAAACAATACATTTTGATTTCCTTTCATTTCACCTCTCGGTTCATTTGTTTCCCCGCGGCAAAAAATTATTCTGCTCGAATTAAATCGTGCAAAAAAAAACCTAGAAAAAATATTTTTTAATGAAAAATAGTTTTAAAATATACGAAAAATATCTGCCGAAAAAAACTAGAGTCCTTCTATTTCAGGTGTGGACCACGCATACGACAAACACCCGGATCCAACTGCCCATTTTTATTTTCGCAGCACCAGCAGGAATATAATTTCAGCCTGAGAATCGATGTTTCCGCTGCACAAGTCCAGTTACCTTAGCAACCACAGGAACGGACTCCCCTCGTTGTTCCTATACTGTACTTTTTATTCCCTTTACATTTTTTTTCCTACCCCCCCCCCCCCCCCCCCTCNTCCTGTACTTTTTATTCCCTTTCCCTTTTTTTTCCCCCCCCCCCCCCCCCCCCCTCCGTCTCAGTTTGTACCCCTGGGAAATAGAAATGGCTGACTGGGAAAATCATGAAGGTAATGGTATCAATAAAACAGGACCCGTGTGCCAATCCCAGTAATGAACTGGTCTTTATGCAGATTTACTGTAAGTGATGGGGGCTGGGCGTTCAATGCGCCTGTAAATGAGCTATCAATCATGTGGAATATGAGGGAATTGAGACTCAAGGGTTTGACATAATGCTTGCAATAAGGTGGAAAGGGGCTAGAAATGGATTGAAATTCAGTTTAAAATAATTGATGGATTTATTGCTTCCTCAGTGTATATTTTTAAATATACTGTATTTTGTTCAAAACTGCAGTATTGGATTTTCACATTTAAAAATCTCCCTCCGCTGCTGATTTTTTTGTGACCTGGTTTCACCCTTGTGCAGCAAATTTGGACTTTTTCTGCAATTTTGGTGTCAGTGTGGAGACTGTGGACTGATGGAAAAAAAATAGCATCTGTTCACCCAGGCCAAAGTTCAGCTAAATCCCACTTTATTCTTTGAAATTCACCGAAAAATTTTGCTAAAAACAAAGGCTTCACTCAAAGGCTGAGCTTGTTTTTAAGCCTCTTTCCGGATCAGTTGCATTCTTCTCAGATTCTGAACCCTTTTATTCTGTGTGCCAGAAGAAGGATTCCCATTCAGATGCCAAAAAAAAATTAGTGGAAAAGTCCAACTTTGGGAAATATTAGCAACACCTTTTTGCTGGACAAAGTCCAACTTTGCCCTAGGCCACCTGGCTTGGCTTTCATGGCCTTCAAGAATAATGAGAGCCCACCAGAGAAAATCCTGAAATCCTGACTTAGTCAAGGGATGGGAAAGAACCTTATGCCAAGTATAAGAGTTGAATTCCCTTGAGGACAATGTATGATAATCCTCCTTAACTTAAAACCTTTCCCCTAGAACCTCCAATGTCTGATGGTTTTTGAGTAACTATCCTGGGTATTACTCAGCAGGAAAAAAAAAGATGGGATGATGCTCTCCTAAAGGAAGTTAGTGACTAAATAAATCCTTGCCTCCCAAGTGTACCATCCTGTCAACTTATTTATTCAGCAGTTCAATCCCCAGAAAAAATCATCAACATCCTATGATATTTTTTTCCAACAAAAGTTGTAGTTTCAATTACTTGACCTTTTCATGAATTGATTTTTGCAGGTCCCTTGAAGTGTCACTGAGAATGAATGAATGAACAGAAAACTTTCTTTGCTGCTTTTCAGCGTTCACAAGGCACAACCAAAACTCTCAGTGTCACTGAGAGAGGTTCAAATGTGCCACAATTTGAAAGTTAGTGATGATCACCTTGAACTTACTTACAGATGTCTGGGCCCTGAAAAGCTGGACCTGGCAAGGGGCTTATAATAGATGCAGAAATTAACAAACTTTCTGGTAAGCCAATGTTCAGATGGGTTATCCTTTGCAATTGCAGAACCAAGATAAAGCAGATAATATTTGATCAAAGGAGGGAATGACAGACAAGGCAGCTACAGCAGAGTAAATAGCAGAAGAATGATAACATCATGAACAGAAAAGGATGAAAATTGTTTTCAACAGGAAAACTTGAGATTTCTCTGGGACATGCCATTCTGAACTATTTCTCTGAAAATTAAATTTGTGTGAATGCATTTGACGCGTTGCACCTTCTGCAATTTTATGGTTGAAAAACAAGTGAGCAGGTTATTTTCAGCCACCCTCATCACAACTCAAGAAAAATGTATTCCTAGCGCATGTATCTTTTCTTTATAGCTCTAACTTGCTAATTCAAGTGAGCTTTTATTCCTGTGAGAATAATTTCATCAAATGTTTCATGTTTAGTGACTTTTGCATACACAGTATCATGTTGTATTTTGTTAGTAGCCAGGCAAATTTCGAATGGCAAGCACTGCGAACTTTTGATTTTGCTCCTCTTTTCATTTTGACAAGCGAAAGAATCACAGGTTCACTCCTGGAATCAATTCGCACTTATGTGTATACTTTATCAGCGTCTAGCGACATCTACTTACACAGATATCGATCTTGAGCGAGAGTGGCGCACGCAGTCGGCAGATGTACGCGTCACAGGGAGTCATCGAACAATTTTCCAAACTTTATTACATTTCAACAACCTTTTTTTCACACACAGGTTCGACAAAGTAGATATATTTCGAAATATTCATCCAGGGAAACCGGGTACAGAAGTACTCAGTATCTGGTACAACACAGAAACGAAGATGCAAGTGCAGCACTTGTAATCCTCACTGACGCAACCGGGAACCAGT